GCTTCACTTTACTTATTTCTACTCTCTGTCTTCATGTCGATCAAAGCGCTTCATCACGGTACTGTATTCCACCTGCTTATTCCCAAGACGATGTCAAGAGCTACGGAAGAATTACCATCCGCAATAACAATTCCGTGGCCATAACTGGTGCACAACCGACTCAGCGTGGTCGGTCGGTCGGTCGGTCGGTCGGTAGCGCTTCTGAATTTGTTCCTGTCCATTATTCATTGTGGTACAGAGGAAAAACTGACATATTTCAACCGTGTGTCAATACAAAGTCAAACTGACGGGTTTTGCTCCTCACTCGCCGTCTGAACCAGTAGACCCCACGCTGCCTGGTAAATTTCCCCTGTTCCGTTTGAGCTGTCTCACCTAGAATTTTCTAAATTTTTGGGGAACGATTGACAACTTGTGAACAATCATCAAAAAGTCAAAAGTCAAAATATTTGCATCTCTGAATGACAGGATAGGATGCTTTAACTAGGTTTCGTGATTCCACTTTGAACATAACCGGTTAGATGGAAACCCGCTTTCGAGAGAGAATGTGTGAGTGGTATTCACTTCACCCGCGTTCTCAAAACAAAGTCCGAATAGTGCTCAAACTAACTGATAACAAAGGTCATGAGTTCGCTCCTGAAGCTTCGTAAGATGCATACTGTTGATGATTCTCAATCAGGATGAAGCAGCTATGCAGTTTTGGCATGGACTGGCTTCACTTACAAGACGAAATCTCAAAATCAAAATATCGTGAGTTTTTTCATCGGACCAGTAGACCACGACATGGCAAGTCCAAGCACATGGTTCTAAACGGAAAGACCCCCCGGACTTGTCAACAAAGTACTGGACGTGCGCGGTTCCTGCCATGATTCAAGCAGTTAGCAAATTTCCCGTTGTTATACTCTTACACCGAACTTTCTAGTGTATTGATTGAATTGTCTGAAGCCTCTCTGCATCGTTACAGAATCAGTAATGTAAAAAAAATAAAGTCATACAAGCTCCCGGTCTTTGTAGAAATCTATTCTGTTTAATGCGGATCTTCTGGGCCGAGAGACCGAGCTGGTTCAGCAGT